GCATAAAGTGGATGGAATAACGAAGGAGGACAATATGTCTGTGAAGGTTCTCAGTCATCCAGGTCATCGTAGTCAAAAGAGCTTGCAAAGAAAAGCGTCTGGACTTCTTTAAGTTGCTTGAAGACGTTTCACCTCTCATCCGAGAAGCTTCTTCAGTTCGAGAAGAAGGAGGACAACTACCTCCAAATTCTTCAACTTCACCTCAAATCAACAGCTAGATGACTGAAACTTGGACACAACCGGGTTTTCGGACAGGACACTGATCGCTGGTTTTGGCTAAAACAGGCTAGAATTAGTCATGTGGAAAAGCTTCTCAAAGGCCTGACCATAACCCTATTAATCATTTGCTGTACCTAAAGGTTGAGCCCATGCCAGGAACCAACCAGTTTAAATGAACTTTATCAATTCTTCCAAGAAGAAGAGCCCAGAGTTGTTCCAGAAGCTTTTTGATGGCTTCCAAAAGTGTCCGGTCTGTGCTGTACAATCATCTGACTCTGGACAAACAGTTCAAAGAAACTATTAAAAGCCCAAAATCAGCACGATGTTCGTGTTTGTGTAGTTGGATATCTGTGTGAAGCATCTGTCAGAGCCGCCCTTGTTCAGCCTGGCTGACCTCAGTCAGAGCTTTACTGTTGTTGTGCGTGTTGTGTGGTGATCCGGTCTCGTTGTCGCCTTCGTGCAGGAGCACCGTGTGTCTTTGCGGCTGTTGCTGCTCAAAGTTTTTGGGGCGATGTGCAGCCTGGATGCTGCTCTCATCTCCGCCCTTCTCAACTCCATCCTCCCCATGGAGCTGGCAAGAGATCTTCAGACTGACACACAAGGTGAAAATGTCACTCATTGCAGTTCCTCTTGTTTTATAGTTCAGTTAAAAGTTATCCACGTTTGTCTGATTCACTCTTCTTTTTTTATGTTTTTCCTTCAGAACACCAGAAGATGTGCTACACAGCTTTGCTGCTAACTATGGTATTCTCAATGGGAGAGCAGGTTCCATATCATCACTACGGTATGTCCGCTCTCTCATCATTGGATAAATCTGCTGTGTGACACAAAGCAGTGCTTTGAGTTCAGCTTCCTGGCTGTGCTTTTGTCATCATTTCCAGCACATTATGAGAGGCTTATTCAAGCTAAACACATCAAGAAGTTTGACACGTGTGATTTAAAAGCTCAGCTTAAAGGCTATTGTGTGCAGTAATAAAGACACTGGACTCTCCCTGCTTGCAGAACACTTGAATGCCGAGTTTGTTCAGTTTCTGCTGGGTGTGGTGGAGGACGGGCATCCCTCTGATCCCACAGAGCAGCTGCCTGACATCTTCCTGAACCTCGTGCTTTCCTTCAACCTGCACCACACTGGTGAGAACAGCCTCCACAGATGCCTTTATCAGCGTTTTTGTACAAATCATAGCAGGAACCTGAAGGAGTTGGTTTTATTTGTAATTATAACAAATGGAGCAAGGCCATAATTTCAGTGTTCTCTGGATCATTTTTACCTTGAAATGGGTTTACGTAGAAAGGAGTTTAATAGTTGTGCTGCTTGATTGTGTCAAGCTCCCAGCAACAACGTGATCATGAACGAACTGAAGCAGAAAAACGTCAAGATCCTCTCAGAGAAAGTGCTGCTGCTCCTGAACAGAGGCGGTAAAAGAAACTATTTTTGGGAGCATCCTCACTTTTATCCTTCATAAATATTCTTCATGCGTCTTCTTTTTTTTTTACATTTTTCATGTCCTTTCCCGCCCCCAGACGACCCCGTGTGCATGTTCAAACACACTCCGCCTGCACCGCACTCGGTGCTCAAGTTCCTGCAGGATGTCTTCGCCAGCCGAGAGACTGCCGACATCTTCTACCGCACCGACATGATGGTGATGATCGACATCGCCGTTCGACAGATATCTGACCTTTCACCTGGTGACAAGGTGGGACACTGAAAGCTGCTGATGTAATTAAGTTGCTGATAAGGAAGTGGGCTTTAGTGGGCCACTGTAGCTCTGGAAAGAGAGAGAGGGGTGATTCTGTTGTTTGCTTGTTTGGGTTACGGGATTCAAAGGCAAAATGTTTAAGTCAAACTGTCAAACAAAAGGAGGAAATCATATTTCATGGATGCACTGCAACCATATTTGTCAGGCACATGATTATTTTTTTCTCCTTGTCCCTCCCTGTGAAGCTGCGGATGGAGTATCTCTCCCTCATGCACTCCATAATGCGCTCGACGGACTACCTCGAGCACCGGCACCGCCTGTCGGATCTGCAGGGGACGCTGCAGAGGATTCTCAGGGAGGAAGAAGATCCCGGCGAGGATGAAGGGAGCGCTACGGCAAAACAGATGGATAAGCTGATCGTGCAGCAGATCTACAAGGAGTTCCCACAGATCTGCGAGAACCAGGACTAACCGGTGCCAGTATCACAAACTGTAGTCTGCTCCCAGCTACTGCGGCGAGGTATGGTAAAGATTAAAAGAGGAAGAGCGGACGTTTGAAGACGACTCGTACCCCGCGCCGGCCCGTGCTGAGAGAAGCCGGTGTTTACTCCAGTGCTGCAGCGTGCGTGGGATGCTGAGTGTTATTTGAATAATGAGTGTGTGAGAGTGTGTAAGTGTTTAAGAAGGAAGAAATCTGACAAATGCACAAAAGGTTTGTGCCATATTTGGTGAATTAGTAAGTGGCCAATCCTTGAAGCTCATCTCAAAGCGAATCCTTAGCAATAATGTCCTTGTGAAGCTTACGTGGACTAACTGCATGCACCTAAAAGTATTGTTGAAATTAACTGATTAATAACCACAGGTAAACTCTATTCTAACCAAACTGACTGCAGTTTACAGATTTATAGCAGGAAGGCAAATCAGTGCTTACGTTAGATGATTTGAGGCCACAGCTTCAGCGTGCAGAGAAAGCTTTGAACCTTTACGTGCTTCCCTTTTAGTGGGACCAAACTACTGTGTGTTACTGACAGCGCTATTTTCTCCACAGGTCAGCGCACTCTTAAAACTGACTTCCTCTTTTATTCATATCCTCCATCCTAATTTAAGACTAGTAGAACAACTTGAGCAAGTTTACTTCTCTGGCGAGAAAAGCACAGTCTGACTCGCACGTTGCCGATACTAAGCTTTTTGCTGATTAAGCTGCCGCTGCTTATTATAGAGTCTCTTCTCGCTCTGGTACTTTCCTCACAGCTTTTCGCTCTGTACCTGCAAAAGCGAAGCTCCTCAAGCATCACGCCTCATCGACCGTTTACGGCTTCTGTGCTGCAGTAAAGCAAAATTCTGACAACTGGCTTGTGAGCTGTGGCAGGAGTGTTATTACATTATCAGTGTTGTTGATTTCCAGTTTCTCATGTTCATACTTAAAGTCAAGAAGAAGAACTGTAATGCAGGACATTTATTTGATCTCACTGTGGTTTAAATACTTTCATACCTTCCCCCTGATTGTTTTTTTTCCCCCTCCTCTCAACACTGTAGTGATGATGTTGTTCATTATTATCTGATTTTTAATCCCTGGCATTGCTTCTCCTGACACGATCCAGAGGTGATATCAGACGTTTAGTGTGAGTGTTTCATTCTCTGGTTGACTGTGTGTGTCTCTTTACGGTGTATGTGCGTTCCTTTGTGCGCGTGCGAGTGGTGAACGTCTCCATGATTCACTTTGTCTGCAAATGTGCTGCGGCTGTGTTATAATGAAACTAATAAAGCTCTATTTTAACAGTGAACTGTATTTTTGAGAGTGTGATTGCGGGGCAGAATATCCTCATTCACAGTCTTCACTGCACTAACGACACAACAAATGTTGAAGTCAGATTTGGCTGTTTGTTTGTTTTATTCAGAGTTCAGAATCATTTAATTATTGTATTTGTTTTATATTTATTGTATTCAATTTATTTTAAACATTATTGCACAACTAAGGTGTTGGAAACATTGCTCTGAGATGTTGGTCCATACTGACATGACGGCATCGCAGAGTTGCTGCAGATTTGTCAGCTACACATCAGTGGTGAGACTCTCCCGTTCCATCACATCCTCAAGGTGCTCTGTTGGATGCATCTGGTGGCCATTTGAAAACAGTGAAATATTCATGTTCAAGAAACCAGTTTGAGATGATTTGAGCTTTGCGGCATGATGATCGTGGTAGAAGCAGCCACTGGATGATGGGAACACTGGGGTGACAGAAGGATGGATATGGTCAGTAACAATACCAAGCCAGGCTGTGGTGTTTAAACGATGCTCAGTTGGCACAAAGGGATCCAAAATGTGCAAAGAACATTTTCCCTACACCGTTACAGCTTTTATGCTTTCATTATATTCTGACCCAACCGTCTGAATGTTGCAGCAGAAATCAAAACTGATTAGACTCATTAGACATTTTTCCAATCTTCTATTGTCCAGTTTTAGTCAGCCTGTGTGAACTGTAGGCCGGTTGGTGGTGAGGTAACTAAGTAGGACAGATCAAAAGACACGCTGGAAGAAAAGAGAGCGAGAGGTGGCCACACTCTGTTTCTTCCCCATTCTCACGCTCTGTTTGAACTTCAGCAGGTCATTTTGATCATGCCCACAGGCATAAATGGACTGAGTTGCAGCCATGTGATTGGCTGATTAGATAGTTGAATTACAGAGCATCTGAACACTTGCACCTAATGAAGTGGCAGGTGAGTACACTTAGAAAACACATTTACCATGTTTGAGACTCCAACACTTCTCACTTCACTGAAATACAAGACAAGTGTATCATCTTTGATCCATCAGTTTTTGAGACTTCTACATCATCAATGTAAAAAAATGAAACAAAGTGTACATTTATAATACATTTTTTTAAGGAATAAATAGCAAACATTACACTCAAATTTTGTCAGAAGATTCCTTAAACACTTTTTAAGCCATGTTCTGACAATTATTTCTTTAAAGGGTTACAAAGATGTCAGGAGCTTGAATACTAAACGGCAGAGGGCAGGAGTACTTGTGTGCATCGAGTAGTCAGTCTGATAAAAACCAGTAGAAGAAGAATGCTCACCATTTCCGCCGGACAACAAACAGAAACGCACAGGAGTGCAGCAGTGTTGCAGTCAGATCGGTCCGGGTAAAGTGGGTCAAAGGTCCAGCAGACCGGAGCGGCTTCAGCTCTCGCAGATATCCGTCTCTCTCCCTTAGGAAAGCCCGAGCAGGTGAGGTGTTAGCGGCTGGCTCCGGCACCTCTGTGTTTCCTCTGCGCTTCATTCATTCCGCTTTCCTTCCTGCAGACTGTAAACATGTCCAAGCAGCCGCAGCCGATCAGCCCGCTGAAGAACTTCTTCGCTGGAGGCTTTGGAGGGGTTTGCCTGGTCTTCGCCGGACACCCACTGGACACGATCAAAGTAAACAATAAACAGCTGCGTGGGTTTATTTGCCACCGTGCTGTGCATGTATTAGACACACAGCAAGGGTGTGAGGTGTATGGGACACTTTGTGCAGGCCTCGGGGGTGTTAGTGAAACACAACCGTGAGTTCAGTGTGAGTGTTTCTGCAGCTCAGAGATTACCTTTGACCCACTTTCAGGCTGTGAAGTGACTCGGCTCACCTGGACACATGCAGGAGGGCTGTCACTGCGTCAGACACTCAAGATCAGATCAATACTGCTGATAATTGAATCAAGCCTGTGTGCTGTCCAGTTTCAGCCTGCATGAAGTCATGGCTTATCCTTGCAAAGACTGCTGAAAAAAAGTCCTGTGGTGTTTTGCTATAATGCACCACACCATGTTACAAACAAGGCACAAACACCACATAGCACCTGTCAGCACGGTGGTGGAGGGTTAAAGTTTTGGTGTAAGCTACGTCATAAATAAAGCTTTAGCTCGTATGATGGGCTGATGTCGCGTGCGAACCGTGAACATCTCCATAAATCAGTAACAGCCCACCTGCATGCTTCCAGGTGAGCTGAGTCACTTCACAGCTTGAAAGTGGGTCAAAGGTCATCTCTGAGCTGCAGAAACACTCTTGCGCCCTTTAATTGGATAAGTGGTTTCTGCAACGGTATTGCTGTCACCTCACAGTAGGTGAAGGTGCTGGGTTTGAAGCCCGGCTGTGTGGAATTTCCTCCAAGAGCTCAGCTCCTGAAGACATGCATGTTAGGTTAATTAGTGATTCTGCACTGGCCATGGAGGGGAAGTAGATAAATTGCTTAAAGTGTATAGAACAAGGTGATGTTAACATGTGACTTGTAGTCTAAAGACTAGAAAAGCGCTATATAAATGGGAGTGCGCTACATTACAAAATGGATTATCAGTTAAAATCAAAAAAAGTAATGCATATCTAACATATCTCTGCATATCTAACATTCAGATTCTGATATGAATGAAAAATCTCAAACTGCCCTAAACTTGCATTTAAATTCAGTGGAAACAGCCTGTATGTAAAGTGTGTAGAAAAAAATTCCACCCATTGCATGTCCTCTGTTATGCTGTAAATATTTTGGGTGTACATCATTTCTTTCATAAAATACATGTTTTCAGGTAAAATGGGTCCTTAGGGAAGTTCCTTTCTACTCCAACATGCTATTTTTGGCTGCTCCTTTGTTCACGAGGAGCCGTCACAGCAGGTAGCTTTACATGTTTGGCTTGGAGGCGTTCACTGTCGCAGGCAGAGAAGGGGGGTACACATGGGACAGGTTGTCGCAGGGGTAACACATTCACACCTATGGGCAGTTTAGAGTATCCCGGTAACCAAACATGCATGTTTTGGGGAGGAAAAGACCCCACACCCCCTCTTGTTCAAGAGTGCACACCACAGCACTACCCTGTCCCAAGTGTTTTTACCAAACAATCACACACAGACTGAGATGGAGTCCTCAGGGGTAACTCGGGCTTCTTGCCCAAGAATAATTTGACAAGCAGTCGAGGAGAGCCACAAATATACAAATTAGACTTAATTCACATAACCTCTTTCTGTAAAGATATGAAAATAACTAATCACTAAAAAGCAAAACCTTTCATTATATATGCCGTCACCGCGCAGAAGGTGACGTATTTGTCAATAACCTTCTGAAGTAGGGCTGTGCGATATGACCAAAATCTCATATCCCCATACAAGACATCTATCGTCTGATAACGATATAAATCACAAAAATGTAACATTTTCTGTAAATTCTGTGAATCTCGGGCAGCTCGACTTGCGGGAAGTGTTTCCAGCTGCGCGTCATGTAGCTGGAGTCGAGTGTTTTAACCGATGCATGAAACGATACATTTTTAGACATAAGTTGTAACAGCCGCTGTTTTCTTTGTATTTATTACACAGCGTGCTGCGGAGAAAAGCCTGTTCTAACGTTTGAGTCTAAGGTTTATTTTTTAGCACCTGGCGGCTCTTTTTTTTAATTCTCATCCGTAAATAATCTGCTCTTTCACGTGATTCAGTTTATTTTGAAAAGTCTCAACAGGATCTTGGGCTTTATTGTGAAAGGTTTATGTGGACCATAAACAAGTGGATTGTTGCTAACCACAACGCATAAAAACAGGTGCTTGTCTGTCCATAGTGTGGTTATATAAAATATAAGAGAGAACTTTACGAAATTAATATAGCCACTACAGTGACCATCAAAACAATGAAAAAATATTGCCGTAAACAGTTTATTTTGCGACACCACGAAACAAACCATAGCATAAAATGAAACAATAGAGTTCCGATAGATATATGAACAGCCCTATTCTGAAGTCTCTTCCAACTATGAGGTCCATGTTCCCTGTTCTGTAGAAAGGCAGGTCAAAGGCAGGGTTTCACTTGATAAATGGCATCTTAGATTATTAAGACTGGTTTTGTAAACAGGAGACACTGGAGTTGTTTTGGGGGGTTTCTCTCAGGGTGGCGTCCACCCGACCTCCCCGTACAGGATAGAGTGATGGGATCTGAAACTGTCTCCAGTGTTAAATTCAAGTCCTGAGATTGTGATACCCAGCAGAGCTCTGGCAGCAGCGTGCATGCAGATTACATTTGCATATTCAAAAACTGGTCAAACCTGCTGCTAAACCAGAGCCACTGCTTTTTTTCTAAAACGAAACCCAACTGAGCTTTCAGCTTCCTCATCAGTTCCTTTTAAAGTAAACCAGGCAATTTTAATATTTCAGCTCCCATTATCATCACGATAGTAAACCAGCACATCTAAGTTACCTGGGGTTTGGTGGTGTTTAGTGTTAAATGCCTTTAGTTAAATGATAAGTCTAATCAGACCCTTTTTAAATAGCTAAAATAATCAGATTTGAATTTAGGCAGGGCTTTTTCACTAGAGGGCGCTGTTCCAGCTGAGTGCACAGTGTCAAACTGCAGCTAGGTGAAGAATATGACGTGAAACTACTATGAATGAATCGATTTTTTTTTTTTTTTAAAGAAAAATAAACTTTTTTGATTGTTAATCATCTTTTCAGGTTCTGAAGTGCGCCCTGATCATGATACATGTTACACAAGTGATTTCATTGTTATCTTGGTCAGTGTGTCGTACTGATAGTTACTCTGTGATTCCCACCTTTTTCTTCCACTCATGCTCTTGAGCAGACAGTATAAGGAGGTTCAGAGGAAGACAGAGGTCCTTTCTAGTGCTCAGATTTGCAAAGGAGGCTACAGAAATATTTATAAATAAAGCAGATGCACACCTTAACACATGAGCGAAGAAACGACATGAAAGGAGAAGGTCGTTGAGAAGTGTAAAGTCAGTCAATGACCAGTTACATGTAAATCTGTTGTGTACTTTGTGTATCTGGTGGTCGTGTTTGGATTAAATCATGCACACAGTCCACGAGAAGAAGAAAAGAGCATGTTTCCATGGAAACCTCAGGTTATTTGCACACTTCACATCCTTTTCTCGCTCCCTCTCTCTCAGGTGCGTTTACAAACTCAACCAAAACCCAAACCTGGCGAGAGCCTCCTGTATGCTGGGACCATAGACTGTTTTAAAAAAACTTTAGCCAAAGAGGTGAGCATGCACACTGATGCAAACTCTGGCATTTATTAACTAAAATATTGTTTTTGAGTCCTCAAACTGATGTTTCCTCCTCCTCGTCTTCCTTTACAGGGTATTAAAGGACTCTATAAAGGAATGGCAGCCCCCATAATCGGAGTCACGCCCATGTTTGCTGTCTGTTTCTTTGGGTTTGGGCTGGGAAAGAAACTGCAACAGAGAACTCCCGATGATATTCTTACGTAGGTCATTGCTTTGTCACGGGTGGCGACAGTTTGGGTTGATCCTGTCAGACGCTCTGTGGTCGATTTCTGAGAGTATATCAGCCCCGTTCTCTTGTCTCCTCCAGGTATCCACAGCTGTTTGCTGCTGGGATGTTGTCTGGCGTGTTCACCACAGCTATCATGGCTCCTGGAGAGCGCATCAAATGTCTCCTACAGGTCAGAGGTTAAACATGCATCTGATTGCTCTCACTTTGTTACCTGAGTAGTTGATTCGACGTGTGGAAACACCTAGTATTTCTTTCAGCCCCTCCTGTCAAAGGTTAGAAGTTTATTATTTGGAACAAATCTTCAGTAAGTGTAAAATTATGCGTGTGTGTTTGCAGATTCAAGCTTCCACGGGGGAGGTGAAGTATGCAGGACCCATGGACTGCGTCAAACAGCTGTACAGAGAGTCTGGAATCAGGGGAGTCTACAAAGGCACCGCTCTGACCCTCATGAGAGGTGCTGCTTTACTTAAATATTCATTATTTGCTCTTCATTTCTTAGTAGATCAAATATTAACACTTCATGTCATGTCTTCACAAACTTTCTGCTTGCATTTAGTTTTACTAACCAAACCCCTGGAGGCCTGACAAACATGCTCATGTAACCTTTCCCAAGATGTTTTTAAAGCTATTTTAAGTCCTCCATTGTTAATGTCGCTGTGTCTGCTGCCACATTGTTGCAGTGTTTGGTTCATGACCAGCACCACCATCAGAAAAACTCCTACCACATGACATAGAATGAGTGAAGTTGATGTTTTTGCTTTGCCAGCAAGAACAAAGTTGCTTTAGTTAGTTGTTCTGTCGCATCTATCCACTCATCCACACAACATTAAAACCACCTTCCCAGTACTGTGTAAGATCAGATCGACTTTATTTATCCCAAAGTTGGGAGATTCCTCTGTTAGAGCCGATGAAAAAGTATAAATGGATAACATAAGAAGAATGGTATGAAACTCATTTTTTCCTTTTTTTTAATGTAAAACTTTTGAGATTTAGGAGAGCGTTCTGGCCAAGCAGGACAACAGGACAATCATAAGATGCATAAATTAGTAGCACATACATCCAAATACAAATCCATCCATCCAAATCCAGTTAAATAAAAGCTAAATATATATATTTTTAAGGATAGCTGCTTAAACTTCTGATGCAAATCCAGTCATTTTGTTCTAAGAGCAAGCATGAAACATGACAGAAAGTGCTGGTTCAGAAAAGAGCTTCAAGGTTTTCTATATATAAGCTTTCCTGGGGTAAAGAGTTCATGTGGATGCCACTCAAAAAAGCAACAACACAATCTTGGAGATACAAAGTTGAACTTTCTTGATATTATCTCAAAATTCTGCAGTTATTTTCTCAGTTTGAATTGGTAAGTTTTTCACTTGGCAAAAAAAACTAGATCTTTGTATTGGTAGAAACAAGATTCTATGGCACAATAAGGTAAAAAAGTATCAGAAAGATTACAATAATGTAAAACTAAATAAAAGTATAAATGGGGTGGGGGTGTCCCGTGGTGTCTTCCACTGAGGCATAGGCCTTTGATACTTCGGGTCCTGTGGGTTGAGGGGTGGGGTATCTGTGGGGCAGGATTGTTTGGGTGCGGCCCACGGATCCTTGATGGGGTTGTGGTCTAGGCGGTTTGCAGGACTTGGGCTCTCTGTTGTGCATTGTTTATGGTGTGGTGAAGCGCATTGTCCTGCTGGGTGTTGGTCTGCGACAGTGTTTAGATGGGTCGCGTTTGAATGCCAACACTCTATTCGTGAGATACTTCTGGAGCATGCGGAGAAGCAGCTCGAGGCCACGTTAGCTGCTAACTCACACGAAACTGTCAGCAGCTGAGTCTCGCCGTGAGTGACACAGGCACAACGTTTTCATGAGGAGGAACAAACCAGCACACCCGAGGACGTGGAATTTAAAAAAACCCAAAAAAAACAAGATACTTCTGTATTCAAGTTCAGTGAAACTCCTTCTGATTATCATCATGTCTCTGATGTGTAAAGATGAAAACCATCACAGGGCGATCTCTGCCTGAACGGCTAACTAGGGCTACCCTCCAAAAAACCCGAGCTCTCTTCTAGTTTTGGTCAAACCACATCTGAGGGCTCAAAACTGAAGGAAAGGGTTAAACAGCTCTTACAGGCTTTCAGAAAATGTCAAACACTTGATCTTTAAATTAAAGTAATTATGACTTTAATCCATTTAATTATATATTATTGGGTAAAGTAGTCATATTTAAGTTGTTTGGGGTGTTAAAGTGGAAAATTATGAAGTTCAAACTGTGTGTGTGTGTGTGTGTGTGTGTGTATGTATGTTTGTTTTGTAACTCAGATGTTCCAGCCAGTGGGATGTACTTCATGTCTTATGAGTGGTTGAAGAATCTCCTGACACCTGCAGGAAAAAGGTTCATATTTGCTCTGCCCTGCAGCATTTGCAGCTGTGTGTTTATATAAAACAGGCCGTCTGAGCATTGGGACTTGTACTCTTGTCTTCGCAGCCATAACGAGCTCAGTATTCCCAGCGTGCTGTTTGCAGGAGGGATGGCCGGCATCTGTAACTGGGCTGTCGCTATTCCCCCCGACGTACTCAAGTCGCGTTTCCAGACAGGTTGGTGTTTGTGATCAGTATCCATCCTAGTTTAGTGCTGCAGATCCTGGAGTTGTTTTTTTTTTTTCAATTCTGCTGATTTATATTTGAAGATTTTTGCACTTTTTGTATTTTAAGATCATCTTCAGTTTAATTTTGTTCAGTGATTTAAAAAAAAAAATTTACATTCATGCTAAATGTAAGGATGCTCTGTAGCTTGTGGAAAGTTTGAAGCTGATTTTTCATCAGTCAGAAAAACTGAAGATGAGTCCTGTTTCTCTGTCCGCTGCCTGACCTCCTCCTGGTATAAGCAGCTTTGTCTTTTAAAACGTTGTCTGTGACCAAGTTAATAAAGTGTCTTTCTCTCAGCTCCTGAAGGGAAGTATCCCAACGGTTTCCGTGATGTCCTGCGGGAGCTGATCAGAGAGGAGGGCGTGGCCTCTCTGTATAAGGGCTTCAACGCTGTCATGCTTCGAGCTTTCCCTGCAAACGCGGTGAGTCTGCTTCACTTATTCTTCAGGCATGATTGATGCAAAAAGAGATAAATTACACTGGAATGGAAATAAAGTGATTTAAAAAAATGTAGAACAGCCAGTTTGTGCGTGCTACTCTTGTTCGTGCCGTTTGTGCACTTCAGCCTTCTGCAGAGGCGAAGTGACAGCAAGCAAAAGCTGAAGCAGTCAAAGCAATGAGACGTTTTCACTGCAGCCACTGTTTGTGCTTCTCATGCAGCTTGTTTGATCTTTGTAAATCATGGTGAACTCCTCCATCACTCCCTTTCCTGTTCGGGCTCCCTGTGGAGCCGTTTTTCAGGACAACTGCACACAAGCACATCTGCTGCAAGTCCCTCATTCTTCATACACATTCATAAACACGTTTTTTGATTGTTATTTATTTGTTTTTTACCTCAGCTGTAAGAGGCTGATGGGGTATTGTCAAGGACATCAAGTTTGATAATGCGATAACTGCGATAAACAAATTTGAATCTCAGTGACCTCAATTTCAAGGTCAGAGGTCAAATTTTCTGAAAATACTGTGAATGTGATAACTCAAGAACAAGGTGACAAAGGAATTTGAAATTGATAGTCTAGATGTGTCCACTGGGAGGCTGAGGTGGTTGCCAGTATTTTTCTACATATCAGCCCACTGCATCGTTTTAAATACAGTTTACAGTTTAACTCTTGGACCATAAACAAAGCCCAGATTCACTGTATTCATTTCCAAAACAGCAAATCTGCAAAATATCTGCCTACTGGCATCTTTAAAGATGATTAATTGGCACATTTTATCTCATACATGGAAAAACTACGTCTGGATACGACTTTTTTGTAGTATGAATAGCCTTTGGGGAGGTTGATATCAGCAGGAAAAGTTGTAAAAGTTATGAAAATAGAGTTAAAGTTTACACCCTCCTTCACATTTTCCAATGCTAACAAGTATCGGCTTACATGCAGATGACTGCTAACGAAGTGACACCACTTTAAAGTACACAGTAAGCGTCTGGTGTTAATTTCAACAGGGGAAGCACAGCGAGCCTCACTGTTCCACATAAAAATAACTCGAATAAAAGCCAGCTGATTATTTCTGCGTATCTGTGGTGAGCTTTACTTCCTCCCCGCTTCGTAGACTAAACAGTTTTTGTTTCTCGTCTTTTTGTTACCAGGCTTGTTTCTTAGGATTTGAGCTCGCAATGAAGTTCCTGAACTGGTTGGCACCAAACCTGTGACGGAGGCTCGGCGTCACCTCGTTTGTGATCCCTGGGAAACGCACGCACGGATCTGAAGAGATTTTAAAGAATTTCTAACTTTTTGATTGTTTCTGAAACATTTTGGTACAGTGCAACACGTGGATGGTTCAGACCTGCTGAGAGTCGATTGGAAAATGTTGATTGGAAAATCGTGATGGCTTGGCTGTAACCATGCCAACACACACACAACACACACACTCAGTCGAATGTTCTCACTCCTTTTGTTTTACTTTTTTTTTTTTTTTTAATTGAGTTTTTTATGTTTTAAAAAAATGGAGTGAAGTGAACATGTGCCTTACCTTTTATCTGCGAGCTGGTGGACGTATCAGGGAAAAGGTGCATTCTCTCGTGCTTTGTGTGCCGGGCTCTCAGCAACACACACCTCTGAACTGTCTGCATCCTGTACGGTCACGCTTCACTCAGTGATCGATAACACAACCTTCACTTTCTGTCTGACTAATGTGAAATTATAGGAATAGGCATAATGGCTGTGATCGAACAGCACATGAATGGCAACATCTGTAAAAATAAATAAATAAATCAGAATCCATAAACAACAACAAAATTCCTGCAGTTTTTTTTTTTGTTGTTTTCTCTGTCATGTCTCCAGTTTTTTTCCAGTTTTTACCAGTTCAGTGTGTGATTACTATAGTTGGAGATGTTGGAAAAGCCCCAACTGCTCTCCTCCTGTCTGCATGTCTTTATTCAGGCTGGCAGCATATCATCAATTTCAAATAATCCTAAATAAGCAGTTTTGATATTTTGAGTTTTTTGAGGAAACCATACTGGGGTGGAGCAACTTATATGTCCTTAAAATACATAAATGCATACAAATCATTTTTTTGTCTCATTTATATCTAAAAGTTGTCTTTGTTTTCTTAGAAGAGATAATGATACAATAAATAGTTGTATGCATTAACATTTAAACACGAGGACGGGGGCAGAAGAGTTCGAGCAGCCTCAGCAGAATAACTAAAGGCAGGTTTAGGGTCACCTGATGGAGCCAGAAGTGTGAACTTTCTGACAAAGACAAGTTTAAGCTTAATCTCAAAAGCAGGGAGGCTCCAGTGTATGAAAAAGTGTTTCCCTGCTTTTCATAATTTTGCTTCATGGTGCTGCTTCAACTACAACAAAAGCAAAGCATAAATATAAATTAATTATAATCATTGAAACAAATGTAAACAAGTAAAAAAAAAAATGAAAGTATTATAAATCATCTTAATTAGTAATTGGAGGTTTTTCTTTGCAGTACCTGCTGCTTTACGTGTGAGATTCACCATCTGAAATCATATCAGCTTGGACTTTTGCGACATGCACACCCACAATCACAGTCGTCAACTTAAAGTGTATTTCTTCCTGGAGTAGAAACTCCTTGAGCCAGAAATGGCTGCACAAAGTGCCAGATTGAAATTTAAACAATGATTTGCCTTATCGTCTTCAGCAGCTGCAGAGTCCCTTTAAGAGGTTAGAATAAAAATAAAAACCTCAGGCAGCGTTTTCCAAAAATAACCTCAATGTAACTCTAAATTCGAGTTTCCCTTCTTCCTTCATCCATTTAAGTTATGCATGCAAAAAGTTCCCTTTTGTTTGAGTCATATTACCAAAACCATTTTGTACCATAACAGGGTTTTATGTTTGTACCGTGATACAAAATGAGGACAGGAAGAGGAAGATCATAAGATCATCAGAAGATCAGAATCATGTATCTTGTAGAATACAATAGTCAGTGTTGTAAAAGGAGGACAGGAGCAGAAGATCACAAGATCCTCAGAAGATCAGATATCAACCTCCAACCCCCCACAAACACCCCAGCCCCATCACCCGGGGAGCACAGGAGCACAAAAGACTAATCAGTGTGTGTGAGGACACTTGCATTGAAGTTATTTTGTACTGTGATAGTTACTTTTCATTTTCCAGCGAAGTACTGCGTTTTTCATAACTGTGCTATATATTTATGAATATAAATGAAGACATTTGGACGTGAACACCAGCCTGACTTCCAGGATAAACTGTTAAAATCACTCTGCGTGTGTTGTTTCTTTGCCAGATCATCGTGCTCTGAGGCTTGATCCAGTGGACAGCCTTTAATTACATGTGATGTGAAAAGACCTAGTCAATACTTTCCGACAGGCTGTGCTAAATAAAAGAATCAATACAGGGCAGATTGGGAGAGGAGGAGGAGGAGGAGGTGGAGTCACTATGTGATGATGCTTCAGACAGAAAGTGTGTTTATCACATGCTGATTGCTGCATTTTGTTATTCCTGCCATCGTAAACTGAGGTTAATGGAAAAGAAGCTCTTATAGACTTTTTTTTTCCTCCATTAAAGCTCCTGACCTTTGAGCCTGAATGATGAGCACTGTAGAGATACCAGCTGGTTTGAAAGAGCTGCTGCAGGGATACACGGTGGAAGTGCTTCGTCGCAGGCCTCCCAACTTGGCCGAGTTTGCTGTGCAGCATTTCACACGTATTCTGGAGAGCCAAAGAAATGACCAGCAAGACAAGAAACCCAACACTGAGTCTGTGCAGAAAGAAGTCACTTTTGAATCAGGCACAGATGAACCCAACAAACATGAGGAAGAGGAGGAGGAGGAAGAGGAGGAACCGGTCCCCGTTAGTGAGTATCTCACTATTAACACTGTTACGAGCACTTCTGGAGCTGTTACAGTGAAGTGTGCTAAGCCCTGGCTTTAAAAACACTCAGTGTAACGCTCTGACCTCTCTCTCTCTCTGCAGAGCGCCCCTCTGGAAAAACCAATCGCAGAACTGCAGGTCAGTAAGTGGAACGGCGTGAGTCAATGTGGCTACATGACTCCACTTTGTTCATTTGTTTGTCTCGCTGCAGTTTGTGCAGAGGCGTACAACCCAGATGATGATGAGGATGATGACACAGAGCCTCGGGTTGTGAATCCCAAAACAGACGAGCAGCGTCGCCGGCTTCAGGACGCATGCAGAGACATTTTACTGTTCAAGACATTAGAGCAGGTATAGCAGCTTAAATCAGGTTTTAAAGAAGACGTGGTTCCCCTTGTGATGATCACAGACAGAGACCTGCAGGAACAATGTCCAAGACCAGAAAGTGCTGCAGACCACAGCACTCAGGTTTTAAATGTCATGTTACTGGCTTACTGTAGGTGACAAAGGGACTTTATTTTTTTTTAAATGCAAGTCTGCTTCATTTTTCAGTTCTTTCAAATCAAGTTTGGCTTTTGCTCTCTATAATTTTGGCTTCACATCCTACACCGTTCCTGCCCTTTACTATCCTCTCTCAACTGTTCTTATATTTAAGCTTAAGCTCCACTTTTATATATGTTATATCAGCTTCAAATGCCTTTTTTAAATATGCATTCTTAGAATTTGTTTCATAAAAAGAAACCTGTCTCGTTATGTTTTCCTCCAGGAGCAGTTCTCTGAGGTTTTAGACGCCATGTTTGAAGTGTTGGTCAAACCTCAGGATCACATCATAGACCAAGGAGAGGATGGGGACAATTTCTACGTCATAGAGAAGTGAGCGAGGTTTACCTTCTTTTCAATATTTAAACTAAACCTGCTCAAATCAATTTAATTTAGGTTATAATGCCAAGTCACAAGACAGAACTTTATTTTATAAGGTAAAGAACTTACAATATTACAGACAAAATCCCAACCATCAAGCACTTGGCAACAGTGGGAAGAAAAAACTCAGTTTTAACAGGAAACCTCTGGCAGAACCAGGCTCAGGGACAGGCAGCCATCTACTTTAACCAGTTGGGGTTGAGGGAAGAAAGAGAGGATAAAAGACACTGTGGAAGAGAGCCACAGATTAGTAGTAATTAGATTAATCCTGAATCCAAACTGGGAGCTGGTTCCACAGAAGAGGGGTGCGAAAGCTGAAGCCTCTGCCTCCCATTCGTCTTTTAAATATCATAGGAACCACAAGAAAGTCAACAGTCTGAGAGTGAAGCGCTTGAATGATGTGATACGGTACTATGAGGTCTTTAAGATAAGATGGGGCCTGATTATTCAACATGTATGCTATGCCTTCTAATGATAGTACCTAATGTATAATATATGCATAATGTAAACAGAATTGGTCCTAGTATAGAACCTTGTGGAACTCCATAATTAACTAGTATGTAAAGAGGACTTGCAATTCACATCTGCTCCCTCTCTTTCTCTGTCCAATCACTTCCAGAGGTGTCTACGATATTTTTGTACAGAAGGACGGTGTGAGCATTTGTGTTGGAAAATATGACAACAAGGGCAGTTTTGGAGAGCTGGCTCTCATGTACAACACGCCTCGAGCCGCCACAATCGTGGCGACACAGGACGGAGCCCTGTGGGGCCTGGTGAGTCTGACAGAAGAAGATGACCTTCATCCTCCGTAGCATTGTGCTGTATGTGACAGAGTGCGTGAAACAGGTTGTTCTTTGGTTGCTTCCCTTTCAGGATCGAGCCACATTTCACAGACTGATTGTGAAAAATAATGCAAAGAAGAGAAGGATGTATGAGGCCTTCATTGAATGCGTTCCTCTTCTGAAGTCTCTTGAGGTTTGCAGACACACACACGGCATTTAAAAAAAACAACAGGATATAAGAACATAGCCACCTTTTATTCAACGTTTATTTCACCTGCTTCGTTTTAGGTTTCTGAGAGAATGAAGATTGTTGATGTTCTGGGAGCTCGAGCATTCAAAGATGGAGACCGCATAATTACACAGGTATAGGCCTGCTTTATCTTGGGTTGTTTTTAGATTCAAGTTTATATATTAAGAACACTTTGGTTAAACTTAGTATTTTCTGCTGCTTTTTCTTTTTGCAGGGTGACAAAGCTGAGTGTTTCTACATTGTGGAAACAGGAGAAGTGAAGATTATGATAAAAAGCAAAGTAAGCGCACTACTATTGCCAAACCTCTTAATTAACCATTTTATCTATTAATTTTTAAAATAATGTTTGTTTTACTGTATGTCTCAGATGTATGAAATGACTGACAAGTTTCTTTATTGCAGACAAAGGCGAGCCAGCAGGATAACGCAGAAGTGGAGGTGGCTCGCTGCTCCAGAGGGCAGTACTTTGGGGAGCTGGCGCTGGTCACCAACAAACCTCGTGCAGCAACAGTTTACGCTGTGGGAGAAACCAAATGTTTAGGTACATTAAATGCCCACAGATGTTGGTAATGTTAATTGAGTTTAGCAGGCATTTATTTATGCACAGCTCTCCTAAGGTCCCATCACAGCAACTTTACAATACTTTGGTATACAGACGAGTTCATGGTCAACTGAATGACTGCAAGGTGCTCAGGCCCTGTGGCTGAAAAAACAAGCCCTTCCACCACCATGCTTGATAGTTGATATGAGGTGCTTGCGCTGATATGGTGTGCTTAAGCAGCACCTGGCTGCTATATACTTACTACTCGATGCCTGTGGAAACAGTGAGTTTTCAGTGTGTGATGGTTTGAGATCTGTGAAAACGTACTTTTTCCAAACATGACTGTGGGAAGAATGATGCAGCAGCCTGACACATGTACCATGTAAAACGCAAAAATACGAAAATGTCTGTGACATGAATCAAAATGTGTTTTTTCCTTCCAGTAATTGACATCCAGGCTTTTGAGCGTTTGCTGGGTCCCTGCATTGACATCATGAAGAGAAACATCTCCCAGTACGAAGACCAGCTGGTGGCGCTGTTTGGCTCCAGTGATGATTTGAAACAATAGTACACATTTAAAGTTGCCAGTGTTTTATAAATCAAAAATAGAACCAGTGTATGTGATACTTTTATCTTCCTCTCGAGGTAAATACGGCTGCCTCAATTTGAAGTCATGTTTTGTTTTTTTAATGTGTTCAAGTTTAAAATTCACCATTTTTCATGTGTGATTATGTCAATACTTGTCCAAACAAAATTTGATGCATAAAATAAGATTCAGTCAACTGACTCACGAACAACTCATCAGACTGCAGCCTGGCTGGTGCATCATCTCTGTGTTGGTCAGATTGACATGACCATACAGGACACGTCCCAGTAAGAAAACGCATGTAAATAAGTACCTGAAGGTAAACTCACTGCTTTCTGAACCACTCTTGATGTTATTAGTAACACTGTATTTGCTATGCCACAATATAATATTAAAAAGATGGGCAAACTTCTTCTTCACTTTGTTTTAACTAAAGTTATTTTCAGCATATAATCAGATTAACAGGTGGAAAAACTTGCTGTACAACTTTTGAGGGATTTTTCCCACCTTTGTTGGATTGAACAGTGAATATTAGAAAAATAGGGAGAGATAGCGGGGGATGATGTGAAATCAAATTTAAATTATTTGATTAAACGATAATTCTTATTTTTCTTGGCCTTCAGGCAATTACTCCGATTGATGCAGGCCAAAAAAAATAATTCTAATTAAAACAAAACTGAACCTTTATTTAATTCTTCATATACTCCAAACTTGCATTCAAGATTTCAGCTCCTGCAGGGCAGTTAGATTTTCATTTAGTGAGCTCTTCTTTTCCTTTTGTATTTTCTGTGTAATGGACTCATTGTTCAATTGAATTTTTCATCTTTCTGAGCCTTCTTTGTACTGCTATGTGATATATTCAATTTACTAAGCTGTGTCATGTTCTGCGTGTCATTTAGCTCATACACCTGTTTCTGCACAGGAATGCATCTTCCAACTCAACACTGACAAATGAAGTGTTAAAATGGGGTTGTGCAAGCAGCCAAAAAACACAGGAAATACAATTTCAGTCTCAGTTGTGATTAAAACCTCAAATTTACTCATCCGATTTCTAAAGTTTTAGGTTGTTTTTATGTCATGAAGTACAAATGAACCCAAAAAAAACAAACTCTTGAGGTCTTCAGTATTAGAAGAAAGTGAAACACTTCAACCAAACCGAACCTCTTCAAGGCAGTGCATGGGGGGGAAAAAAAGATACACATCTTAGATATCCATGTTTCCTGGAGTTTATTTGAGTTACAAAATATGAAGTGCCATTAGCAGACTCCACTCACAAGAGCGTGCCAACCTTCTTCTGTTACAAGTATTTACACCCAAAAATTAAGAATCTGTCCATCTACATTTCCACACTCTGTGTTCTGGTACGTCCCAGAGTACCAGTCTCTCTGTTAAGCTGTCCATGTTGGGTCCGTGTTTTTTTTTTTTTTTTAATTCCTTTTAAATATTTAAAATATTTACAAAGTCCCATGTTCAAAAACTCCCAAATCAAACTGTAGCTTGTTCAATGCAAAGGCAGGTGACAGAGGGGTAAACTGCTTCAGTAGTGTGAGAACATGAGCAGAGCTGGTGGAGTTAAACGAAAAGTCTTCTACAGGGTTAATCCTCCTTCCTCTAAAGAAAAGGCCTGGGCGAGGAAGTCTGTACAGAATTATTTAAAATTACATGCTGAAATGTCTGATCTGGTGCTGAGGTACCTCAAAGATCCTAATTTCTGAACCAATGATTAACAATCAATCAGGACAGATGAAAGAAACAGGCCCCTCAGAGAGTCGTTCATCAAACATCCTGACTTTTTTTCTTCCTTCCTTCCTTCTTCAGAGCATCTCTGAATATTAAAATAAAACTCCAATAAATAGAAATACAGCAGAGAAATGGTCAAGTAAGACTCATTCTGGTTTGATCCATCCCTGAGTTCTTTTGAGAAGGACAAATATACCAGACAGGAGTGACAAGAGAGGGGGAAAAACATAAAAACAAAAGAAGAAGAAGAAAAAAAAAAAGACTGATGGGGAAAGAAAAAACAAAAATGTGTTGATAGGACTTATCCTACACATTCCCACTGTGTCCAGGAAAAAAAAGAAAAAATATTCCTCTGGCTTCCTGAGGCTCATCAACGAGAAGATCCATCCTCCCAGCAGTGGACGTCACACAGAGGTGATGACTATCATGAGATGTGGCGAGATGCTTGAAATCCTGTTGAGAAGGTCGGGGGCGAGCTGGGATAAGTGGCTCTCTGAAAACTCGCATGGAGGGAAAATCTGAAGCACATAGGCGGGCTGGGAAGTACAGAGACACATATCAGTTGCATGGAAATACTGAGATGGGCATGACTTTTTAATATTCAAAAGTGTCATTCAGTAACAAAGAAGTCAAAAAGTTTTTAATTTTTTCTGTCTCAAAGAGTGAGTGTGGGACTCAGTCCCCAGGTAGGCCACAAAAGTTTATTTTTTAAAATTAAATTTGTTTACAAAAATTATTCAGTCTTGTAAGGATTTCAAGATCTATTTATATCTATTTTTTAACAATAGATTGTTTAACAGACGCTGTCATATTTGATCAAAGAACAACGAGATCCACAGGATACAATTCTTAGAGAATGAGTAAAGTCATTTAAAACTTTAATAGAAAAAAAATCTATTGGACATTTCAGGAAAATTTTGTACAAAAAATAAAATAAAAATAAAATAATAAAAAGCCAATGATAAAAAAAAACTGCTACAGGGTGTCAGACTTGTGAAGTGTGTGCTAGAGATGCTGCTTTATTGAAATGAAAAGAAAACCTGTGCACTTCAACTCCTTCGGGTACAATATGAAAACAGGTAATATGCAAACGGCACCAGGTAAAGACAGTATGGCACAGGTCATGTGATCAGTCATTCACATGAACTGTGTGGGGCAGTTTCTGTCTGACAAGGATCCCTACAATAAATATGTTTCACGGCCTGTGAAAGTCCCATGTGAGTTATGCATATACACAAATGCACTTCCAAAGAAGCCTAAACCCTTTACTATATGGTAAGGACTCCACAAGTACTTTGGCCAAGTAAAATGTATGCCATCAATCCTGTAGAACCAGTTCTGTGTTTAAAATGAAGCCATCAAATGGTATTGAAGATCAGAAGATGATAAGCATCAAAACATGTTTGTTTTCTCTGTGCTGCATACTCCAGGAAAAAAAATTAGGGAAGATCAAACCAATGGCCTGATATGCAGCTGAGAAGCCCCTTCTGTGTGTTTAATACACTTAAACCAGCCTTTAAACTGTTGTATAAGCCAGCGTGAAATGTATGGTTTTCAGGGTTTTTAATCGGTTTTCAGGGTTTTTATCGGTTTTCAGCGTTATTTTGTTATCGTTTCTATTGTTAACTCTGTTTTCCTGGGTCTTTTCACGTGTGTTATGAATAAATCTTTTTTTTTCGGTACCGGTACTAGTTTTATTTTGTTGTATTTATCTGCGACACCTTAAAGGCCGGTCCATGAAAATATTGTCGGGCATAAACCGGTCCGTGGCGCAAAAAAGGTTGGGGACCGCTGGTATAAGCCACATAGGACAGACAATTAATAAAACAGTGATGACTCACCTGATTGGAACCTGGGTTGGGGATGTTGATAATACCAGCAGCCAACTTTGTCTGCAAGTAATTGATGAACGCTGCCTTAAGAGCTTGGGTCTGGTTCAGGACGTCATCTTGATCTCGTCCACAAGGCAGAGCAAGGAGGAGACAGTAGTCGGTGTCTCCCTGTGGAGAGCAAAAGGTTCACGTTATTAGCAGACAGAAACTTGTTTAAAACAGGGAAGTAAAGCAAAAAAAACGCACGTACAGTCATTCTTCTGGCTACACTCTCCAGTTGTGAAGCCTCCAGTCTCATCCTCTGGACAATCCTAAGCAGTGCACCTCCTTCTTGTAGGGGCAGTGATCGATGAGCCAAAGCTTTGTTGCCACAGACGAAATGCAGCTGGACTGCAGCTGTGTCGTTTTTAAGTGCAAGCAACCCTTGCCACACAATAGGGTATTTCTATTTAAATGAGGCAAAGACAAAAACAACAAATGAATGAGACGAGGCTAGCTCTTGCTCAGACCAACCACCTTGTTTAATCTGTTGGGAGATTTGCCTTACCGTGAGTAACTGCACCATATTAACAGGCTGTGTCATCTTGCCATCTTTTGCCTGGTGGTCCGCACCCTACAAATTCAAGAAACAGTTAAGAACAACAGTACAACTAATCTTTGCTTTAAAAATGTTTTCGTTTAAGGTTCAGTTTTCTTTCCTTCAGTTCTTATTTTAATTCATAATTATTCTGAAACCTGCAGTTCATGACAGTGTTAAACTGCTTTCTTATATTAAATGATAGGTTCTCCATGTAATCCACAGCCATTATGAGGCACTTGCTGTTATTAAGCTGTGCTTTTATTGTATAAACCAACTGCTAGTTATACACGTCCTTTGTACCAACACAGATCTGTCAATACTGATTATGTTGACTGTCTTTTTAAACATCACGCACTCACCGCAGCAGGTGTGACATTCATTGGCGGCTGGGTAAGTCCAACAGCAGACGCTTCTGGCATTTGAGAATGGATTCCTCTCGGGTTTGAGTACATCCCCGGGTAGTCTGTGAATGAACCACTAGGTCCAGGTGGCATCAGCTGAACCCTGTGGGGAGATGCCATTGCTTGTCCGGATTGTCTGATTCCCATCATTCCATCCTTAGGAAGTGGAGAGTGGGGCCTCTTTGCCTCTAAAGACTTTGTTATATCCTTATCGGACACACCTTTAGACAAAGCATGTGCTCTTGGAGATAGAGAGGTCTCCTGAATGTGTCCAGAATGAGAGTCTGCGGTTGAACGATCCCCCTGTTGATGCAAAAGAACACGCATGTCTCTCTGTGCTATGTATGTTTTGTCCAAATGGCCACTACTCCGCAAACTCCCACGAGGATCGGGCTGCAGAGTGTCCAGCTTCAGCTGTGCAGGAGATGACTCATGACTCCTCAAAGAACCTGGGTTTACTTTGAGAACCTTGTCTCTGCCAACAGCCTGAGGTGAGGTAGGCCGTGGCTGCATGGCACTAGGCCAAGAGGAGCTGAGCGACTCACTGTGCATGCCGTAGCTCATCACAGAAAGAGGTGGAGTATTGACTCTGACATCTCCCTGGACCAGATGCCCCACTTGAATTGACTGAGTAACACAATGTGGAGACATTCGTCCCAAGCCTCCAGGCACACTATGAGGTGGCATGATAACAGACTGCTCGGGATGATGCACGCCAGCAATAAACTGTTGCATGGCAGGATGGCTAGTGGATAACATAACTGGAATACCCTTGGGTGATGAGGAACCAATGGGTGAAGACACAAATGGAGAGTGTGCGTGCCCTGACTTACGTGGGGACCGTGGTTCC